AGCCCAAGTAGCCTACTCTACTTTCTGTGCCAGTGGGAAATAGTCTGAGACAAAGAACAGCAAGGCCTGAATTCCTGTAATCAATTGAAGAAACTAGGAATTAAAAGCTGAAAAGGGGTGGTGGTGGGGTAAAAAGGTAATGAGAAATCCAGAGTAACTCCTTTAATGAAAGGTTATGGCTGAGTGCAAAGCAGCAGTGAGTTCTAGAGGTCAGCCAGCTTTACTCCAGCCTGTTTGCTACAGCTCATGTTGGTGAGGCAGAGGTTGTCTTGCCCATCCTATGAAGATCTGGGCATAATTATTCTCTTTACTTTGCTGTCTTGTACTGTTACCTCTAAAAAAGCTCCCATGACATTCAAATGATGGACTGACAGAGCCCAGAACTGGGGTGTGCAGGGGATTAGGGGACACCAGCAACAACATAGGTTGAAACTCGGCAGCTTCAGTGTGGAACTATGGATGGGCGTCAGATTCTCTAAATGCAAATGGGCTGTTCTATAAGTCAGCATGTCCCAGGCCCAGCAAAGGATGAAAGATTAAAGAAATCCTTATAAATTCTTAGCAGTTAAAGAAATTAAATGCAATCTGGATTTTTTTCCCCACTTATTTATTTCTATTGCAGTAATCCTCATGAAAAATCTTGCTGTTTCAGGGAACAAATAAAATGTCTTAAAACATAAAAAAAAAACCAACCCAAACTCTAACAAAATTTTACTCATGTAGAGTATTTCATATTCACTCCAGTTGTGGGAACAGTGTTGCTTTTCCTTTTTTTTTTTTTTAAAAAAAACCAACCTGAAAACTTTGACTACCATTTAAAGATGGGTTGGCATTTCTGTTTTTGGGGAAAACTGAAAACAACTCTGTTGGTCTTGGGCTGTTGTTTTTTGTGGTATTGTGGTAGTTTGATTTAGCTTCCTTTCAAGGCCAAGTCTAGCACGTTCATGAGAGAAAGAGAAAAGAGAAAGAGACATGGCCTGGCAGATATACTTAGCGTTAATACCCTACTTCTGTCCAAGCAGTGTTAAGAAAGGTGAGCTGGCTGGCTGATGTGCCTTTTAGACGTGGGAAGTGTCAGAAAGGAGTTATTCTGAAGAGTAAACAAGCGGAGAGGAAATAAAACGAGAGGGGACTACACAAAGTTTGCCTTCTGGGAAGACAAGGACAGTGGGGGAGAGGTGCAAAGAGATCCACTTCCTTTAGGTCTTCTGGCCTGGCTAAAATCTGCACTCAGGATCCAGAGAAACTATGGTCATGCTGATTCCGGTGCTTGTGTGAACTCATCATTTTAGTCCATGCCTGCTTTCTGGCTGTCACTGACTGCCCCAAAATGACCAAGGCTGAAGAATGGATGGCAACCTCATTCCCATTTATTTCATATGCTCTAAAGAGTTTATATGGCTTCAAAATTCTGTTGGCTTATGTCAACCCTCATTTCTCACCTATCGCAGTTCTTGTAAACTTGCTAGCTGGTAGCACCTCTTTGCTTTCAACTTCTGCTGACTCTCACACACTATTTTATGTTAAAACCCCAAGGTTTCTTTGGACAACTTGAAGTGCAGCCTCTGCACAAGTGTAAATTCAGGCAATATTTGCAGAATGTCAGTAACCATGAGGTGTGGGAAGGAGGGGAGGTGTCCTGTGCTAAGATCTGCTTGCTTAAACTGATGAGACCAGAGTCACGTTCAATCTCATATCCGAGGTGAATTAGACCTGTTGTATTTTCTCAGATATTTTCACCTTTAGACCCATGAAACAGAAATAGCAGTGACATATTCACTTGTTTGATATTTCTTTTTACTGTCTGGACTGGCTTTAATACTGCCTATGCTTCCATTGCCTTCAGTGGAGTAAATTCTTGGTCGCAACAGGGCACTGAAGATGACAATCTTAAGTTCATAGTTAAGTTCATGTGGAAAAAGGAAAAGTCCTGCTCCTCGTGTGCCTGATGCTTCTCATGATGGGCCCGCTTACAGAGGCTGAAACAAAAGGTGATGGTGGAGGAGCAATGCTGGGGTCAAAGGAATGGGGGCACACTGGCTGCTTGTAGCTCTGCCTGACTAGTTTCGTTCTTGTGAGAAACAAGCATCTTTCGTTTGTGGCTGTGTGGAAACTGCAGTTAACCAGACACTGACAACTGTAGCATAGCAACAGGGTGCTGGACCTTTTTTCTAACAGAGATGGAGAAAATAGGGAGTGGGTGGAAATTTGTACAGGAACGTGCATTGTCTTGGATTTGGGTAGGTAACCTCAACTGACATTGTGTTCTCTATGAAGTGTCTTCAGGCGCTTCCAAAGCTCTGGATGTTTTTGTCACTTTGATATAATTTGCCTTCAAGCTACCCTGGTTCTGGATCTTTCACATGAGGCAGATCGGGGGAAGCGATATAGGACACTTGTGGTGATATTCGCAGATGGTATTTCCTTGAATTTTACATAAAATGTGTTGCAAAAGCCACAGCTCAAAAAAGAAAAAATAATAAAATGCTGAGAAGGGTCAGCAACAGCAGATCAGACACCCCCAGAGTCAAGTTTCTCCTTCACCGAAAGCGAACCAGAGCAGACAGACAAATCCAAGTTAGCTTTCAACCAGCTAGCTGAGGTACTGTGAATGGTGATGTTAGAGCCCTGGTAGTCTCAGGAGGCTTGGGTAGACTGTCCGGAAACTTCTTCCTGTTTGCTTTTGGTATAAAACATGGGTACCAGACGAAGTGGGTAAACTTTTGTTTGCAGCATGGACGTGCCCCCAGTCTGGGGAGGGGAAGCTGTTTGGACTAGGAAGAAACACAGAAGGGATGGTTTTGCAATGGAAACACAGAAGACATCAAAAAATGGATCTGAGCAGTCAGACTTTCTGGGTGCATTCAGGAACACCAGACTCCTTGGACAATTGCTCTTCGTTAGCATTTGGTTCCTTCTTTTGAGTAGGCAGCTGTTCTGTTCTCTGCAGGCAGCTGCCTTGAAGACAAGCGTTTAGAGGACAGTGTGTGATCTGCCCCTTTGGCAGTTTTACATCTTATACTGAAACCCTGTAGGAATCGGTTCTCCTGCATAGGAAAAGGGGTGGCAGGGGAAGATTGTCATGTGTAATCCCAGGCTCCTGGGTCCCTGAGCTTGTTGCAATTGTGTTGGATAATGTTAGCTGAAAAGGGTCAGAAGACTAACTGCCTCTTTCTTGGGGACCTTTAGGATAGCTCAGCTGTTTTTTCAGATAGAGTCAAAATACAGTTTTGCAGGATGTGTTAATGATGGTTGTCATGGGGATTCAACTGGAAAGAAATATAAATATAAAAATCAAAGGGTTGCAGGCTGTGATCTACTGTCACTATTTATCTTTGGGTTTTTTTTCTCCTTTCACTGCATTTAAATTGGTCCTCACTCCAACAGCTTTATGAAGAGCTGTATAATTGCAGTCTTTTAAAGCAGAAATCTTTGCCTTTGAGTTATAGTAGCTGCTTATGTGGATGAGAAAAAGTCATTGATGTTGGCTGATTATGCCAAGGGCTTTGGGGACCTCTGGTCCAATATCTGACGCAAATTATTCACAGTTCTATAGGCTGCGTCACTGGTGTACTTGGCAGAGAGAAAAAGACTAAAAAGGCTTGAGGACTGATCTGCTTCTCCAAATCCATGGGCTTTTCTGGGGGCAATGCTGAAACACTGTGATGGAGAGCCACGAGGAGTGCCCTGAATCACAGATTGGAGCTATTCCACAATAACTAGATATTTTCACTTTTCCGCATTTTTAAAAAAAATCTTTCTGCACCATTACATTCACCTTAAATATTGAAAAATGTCTATTAAATTATATACTAAATCTCCTAAAGCCACAGCATTCACACAGTGTAGCAAGCTAAAAATTATATTGGCCTCTTTCAGTGGATTCATGCTTTATTTCACGTGTGATTTTTTTTTTTAAGTGAAAAACTTTTTTCTGTGAAGAAGTGGTTACTGTCTTTTTGCCTCAAGCATTTGCAGAGACTGTTGTTATTG